ATAAGGATCCACACACCTTTGTATCTTCTTGCTTAATCTGTGGCTTAGAATATAACCTGTTAAGTCTCTACCTGTGTTAGATAAAATCTTAAACATTCAACAATAGAAAGGATTACGACAAACTTTTTTTTAATTTTATCTTACTTCCTTTACTGATTTGGCCCTGCAGAAGATAGTGATGGGAGCTGAGAAGGTCAGTAGAGCAGCCTTACATCAGTGCAGGACCAGAGGGCTCCGATTGTTGTCAGAGACGCATCATACCCTCTAAAGGAAGGAGTAGCACTGATGCCATCAGGAAAACAGTATCCAAAACAACCAGACACATTCTGTAGCCTCAGGCAATTAAAAGGCAGAGCTGCTGTTCACATTCTATCAAGTCATCTATGTTTTTTCATTTAGTTTCACTTCTTTTTCTCTGTTACTGATCTGAAACGATGCTTTCTTTATGATATATGAAGGAATAAATCTCTGCTTGTGTTTGAAGCTAAGGGAGTTTTAAAACCCAGAACAGTCTAAAGGAAAAGAAAGAAGGCTGACCAGAGGAGCCCATCACACAGTAGGAACCAGAAGAAAATGGCTCCGTTATAAATCACTCTAGATATGACAAGGGCTTTTGTTATGACTTGGCTTTTTTCACAGGCTGTTACCACTAATGATCCTTCAGGGATGGCAGATATTTGGGGATGGCTGCTTCTCTCATCACCCAACAGTTAAGCTCTAGGCCTGCTAGTTACTCTCGCTCAGCCAGCGATTGTATTTACAGCTGCTCTGAGCTTATAGCCACACACCTCCTCTCCCTAAAAGAGGAGACACCAGCCGAACAATGAAAATGACTGAGGTTTCCTCTAATTCACTGGATATTTTTCCTTTTGCTGCACCCATGGGGAGGTGGTGTGCAGGGTGGGATGGAGGTAGCCTACTGTACCGTGCGCTCATATTTGTTCTCTGCTGATACGGGTAGGACAGGGGTTAGCTGGATTGTTTTTGTTCCTGGTTGTAGGACTCAGCGCAAACCTTACACACATAAACATACACATTTTTATGCCTGTATGGTTACGCCGTTTTTGTGCGGGTCCATCTGTGTGTCGGAGGTTTCAGCCACACAGGAAGTGCTACTGCAGTCAGTGCAGCTCTCCAGAGAGTAGTTTCAACAAGCTTGTCAACTTTAAAGGTTCAAGCTTTCACAAAGACAAGAATTTCTCCATCATTCGTGGCTAACTGTTAACAAAACTTCTGTTTTTTTCTTTTCTCAAAAGGAAACATAATGTGAGAATGATGGCAAAAAACATTTAAGCTCTTAAAGGTAGAGTGGAGGATGTTCTTTTTCCGGGTGGATCATCAAAATTAAGTGGTCCTACTAACTGTCAATCATTTTGGTGATAAGTTTATGTAAGGCTGTTCTACGTGCTTGTCCCGATTTTCCCTTACCGGTGGTGAATCTGAAACTGTGGAAAAAATGTTAATCTTCTTTTGGAAAGACAGCTTTTATGAGCGATGCAAACAGCAACTTTTAAACAGAGCATTTACAAGGAGAAAGGGGCTTGTGCACGCTCATGCTGGAGCGGAAACAGGGTTGTGCATTTGCATTTTTTTATTCTAAAGTGGCCTTTAAAAAAATCGACAAAATTCTCCACTATACCTTTAAATAAAACCAAAGATATGAATTGGGTTTGTAAAGATTGTGAACTGTGAAGCTTGGAGTACCGCCACGCAGGCAGAGGCAGCACTGAGTATAATATATGAAAAAAAAAGATACAATAAAAAAAAAAAAAACATGAGTTTCACAGTAGGTGGGGAGGGTCTGAACAGAGACAACTTTGCATGGCACCAATATTCACCCGTAAGGGGTTAAATCTAAAAAACAGGAATACAGGTGCTGGTCATAAAATTAGAATATCATGAAAAAGTAGATTGATTTCAGTAATTCCATTTAAAAAGTGAAACTTGTATATTATATTCATACATTACATACAAACTCATATATTTCAGATGTTTATTTTGTTTAATTTTGATGATTACAAATGACAACAAATGAAAATCTCAAATTCATCATATCAGAAAATTAGAATATTGTGAAAAGGTTCAAAATTGATGGCCCCTGGTGCCACACTCTAATCAGCTAATTAACTCAAACCACCTGCAAAAGCCTTTAAATGGTCTTTCAGTCTAGTTCTATAGGCTACACAATCATGGGGAAGACTGCTGACTTGACAGTTGTCCAAAAGACGACCATCGACACCTTGCACAAGGAGGGCAAGACACAAAAGGTCATCGCTAAAGAGGCTGGCTGTTCACAGAGCTCAGTGTCCAAGCACATTAATAGAGAGGCGAAGGGAAGGAAAAGATGTGGTCGAAAAAAGTGTACAAGCAAGAGAAATAACCGCACCCTGGAGAGGATTGTGAAACAAAACCCATTCGAAAAATGTGGGGGAGATTCACAAAGAGTGGACTGCAGCTGGAGTGAGTGCTTCAAGAACCACCACACCCAGACGTATGAAAGACATGGGTTTCTGCTGTCGCATTCCTTGTGTCAAGCCACTCTTGAACCACAGACAGCGTCAGAAGCGTCTTGCCTGGGCTAAAGAGAAACAGGACTGGACTGCTGGTGAGTGGTCCAAAGTCATGTTCTCTGATGAAAGTAAATTTTGCATTTCCTTTGGAAATCAAGGTCCCAGAGTCTGGAGGAAAAGAAGAGAGGCACTTCATCCACGTTGCTTGAAGTCCAGTGTAAAGTTTCCACAGTCAGTGATGGTTTGGGGTGTCATGTCATCTGCTGGTGTTGGTCCATTGTGTTTTCTGAGGTCCAGGGTCAACGCAGCCACATACCAGGAAGTTTTAGAGCACTTCATGCTTCCTGCAGCTGACCAACTTTTTGGAGATGCAGATTTCATTTTCCAACAGGACTTGGCACCTGCACACAGTGCCAAAGCTACCAGTACCTGGTTGAAGGACCATGGTATCCCTGTTCTTAATTGGCCAGCAAACTCTCCTGACCTTAACCCCATAGAAAATCTATGGGGTATTGTGAAGAAGAAGATGCAATACACCAGACCCAACAATTCAGAAGAGCTAAAAGCCACTATTAGAGCAACCTGGGCTATCATAACACCTGAGCAGTGCCACAGACTGATCGACTCCATGCCACGCCGCATTGCTGCAGTAATACAGGCCAAAGGAGGCCCAACTAAATACTGAGTGCTGTACATGCTCATACTTTTCATGTTCATACTTTTCAGTTGGCCAACATTTCTATAAATCCTTTGTTTTTATTGGTCTTCAGTAATATTCTAATTTTCTGATATGATGAATTTGAGATTTTCAATTGTTGTCATTTGTAATCATCAAAATTAAACAAAATAAACATGTGAAATATATGAGTTTGTATGTAATGTATGAATATAATATACAAGTTTCACTTTTTAAATGGAATTACTGAAATCAATCTACTTTTTCATGATATTCTAATTTTATGACCAGCACCTGTATATACAATGAAAAAGGCAGAGATCATGTATGGTAAGCAGGTTAGCATGATCAGGTGTTGGCAGGAAACCATCTGGCTGATGAGTTAAATTAGATACGAGGTAGTGAAGAATAAATTAGAAAGCATACAAAATAAACACCTTAACATTAGAACCTGTATGGCATACCCCAAACAGCAAAACTAGTAGCAGGCTATATTATGACCAAAACACAGAATCCCACAAGTGAAGGGAAAACTCACATCAGACATAATGACCTGAAAAAAAAAATGAAAGAAAGAGGTCTTCAGAGACAACATCAAAGCTACAGTGAGAAAAAGAAAATCAGCATCTCAAAGAACCCCAAATAATGACAAAAAAAATTTCTTCTCTGACTATAAGATGGCTGTAAGAGACACAGTGACTGACTGGGTGTAAACAAGTCCAATAAGTCCAATCTATAGATGCAGCATTATTTTATATCAATACAATACAATTATAATCTGGGGGAAAAATAACCTTGGTTGGGAAGAGTTTCATGTTAGCATCTCCTTTTGTTCAGAAAACCTTATTTAACATTGTGTAAATGCCCCCTGTTAACAACATTGCCTTTGTTCAAGTGTTAAAGGAAGCTAAGTGATCTCTGCTGTTTTGTTTTTCTCTTAACCTCTCGTGCATATTGGATATTGACTGATGAACACAAGTATCCCTTGCTTCAGGAAGATAAACTCTAGCTATCATGTGTTGCCACCAAAGAGCAAATATAAACATTGATCTTTCTGCACGCAGACAAACTGGTCTCCTGAGTGCAACCTGTGTGTATCTGGAGGATCCGTGTCACCATTCTGGTTAACTGATATTTACATTGAGGGTTAAAAAACCTGCAGGTGACATGAAAGCCTCCCTAGCTCATGGAGTAAAGTAAAAAGTAGAATAGAAATAGTGTGAGCTCTGCCAGCAGAGAAACTGGCCTACCAAAGATTAGCCTTTAGCATCTACAGTGTATTCTGATTCCTGCTTTATTCCTTAGAATAATAAAAAAATAAGTCAGAACCAGAAAACCTTTCCTGGGAAAAGCTGGCAATGTGTGACTACTAGGATGGGATCAAATTTTTGTCTGTGTACAAGTTGTGTCAAACTAATGTAGCAAACCTTGACTTGAAAACTATGCAATATAGAAATATTAAACTTTATGGGGTTTGAAGCAGAGCATATAGCAGCAGGCAGACATTTTGTATGTTATTGTATCTGGATCTCCATGATTGAATGATGCAGACATGACCAAATGCAACAACACTCCATCTTTCATATATTTAATGTTTGGTATTACTGTACATTATTGCAATGCAAAAAAAACACATGTTCTACTGATAAAACAATTACTTAGAGACTAGGTTTAATATTATTATTTAAATTCTTCTGCTTTTATCATTTTATGTGCTACTGTGGCTCAAATCTGTATTTCCATTGATGGAAATATTCGGTTTATATCTTGTATGTCAGATTATCTGACTCTATTGGTTTGTTTGGCCTTTTCAGGGCTGTGTGTATGGAGAAAACCGGACATCCATCCAGTGTACCACGCCTTCCCTAGCTAAGCTTGGCCTTCAGCCTCCAGTGGTCACCAAGGTGGCGTTTGTCTTGGACGGCTACCTAACAGATCAGAAAGATCTGATCTACGTGGAGGACCCGCTGTTCCAGGACCCTAAACTCACATCTAAGGACAACAAGAGCATTGTGGAACTCAAGGTGAGGGTGCTTATACTGTATTTTGATTCAGTGAAATAATGTACCCCTACTCTCAATGTCTTTCTGGGTTTTTTTTTTTCACTGTCCTTCCGATGTTGCAACGATTCAAAAAGATTTCAAAAACTTGAAATTTTGCTTTCTAACCTAAACCCAACCTAAACTTGCTCAATACCCTTTATGTTGTCCAATTTATCCTCACAGTTACCAATTAAAGAACATCTCAATTTTCAAATAAACTTTTATTTTGGTTCAGAGGCTACTTACAAACATCTCAAAATATCCATAAAAATGTCTTGATGGTTTCAACTGTGTAAAAAAAAAAAAAAAAAGATCAGTGACCCCGTAACAGGTGCAAAACAAGAAATACTGCTGAAAATGTCATGGATGTTGAGTAAAGAAAATCCGGATTTATGAGCTGTGGCAAATGTCAAAAGCAGATGCACATGCAAATCAATGCCAACACTACCAAGAGTTTGGAACGGGGTTGTCTGAGTCTTTAACTGCCATGAATGCAGATTTCCACTTAGGAGCCAGGTTGAAGTTCACACCCGAAGGTCAGTGGCCTGCACCTCACAGTCCTCGCACTGATTCACACGTTCAGGTCAGCCGAGGAAGGAAACAATACAGAAAGAAAAACAGGAAGAGGAGTCTGTTTCCCATCATTTCAAAGCCTCCTCTGCTACCTCCCCATCTCTCCTCTGTGGCGACACCTCTCCATGCATGCTCTCTGTCGACTTGTATTGTTCTTGCTGAGGTCAAACCTCTGGACATATTAATGCCCCTTTTCAAACAGGCTTGCTCAGCCCCCGGACCCTGTTCAAGGAACACAATGAAATACATTTTTCGCCACAATTTTTTTCTTTTTTTTTTCCGGCTGCAGCCCGACAGTTTGTGGCAGCTGTGCTCAGCCTCTCACAAGAGATCCAGACTGTTTTTTTTTCTCAGTCTTCCTCTTCTTTCCTTCCTTTCCTAGATGTGACCTTGCCCCCTTCACTAAACCCCCTCCCAGTCATGCTCCAGACAGCCCCCACTTCATTTTCTCTTAACTCTTAGGGGGAAAGATGGTAAAATTTGATGCACCACAGCGAGCCACATTTAACGGCATCTGATATCCCTGCTTTGTTATGGCCTCTGGTGGAGGGGTAGATGTAGGGCTCATTAGCTGCCATCTGATAACATTCACCTCAAATTTTAGCAAACAATGACTCAAAACAACATTTGCCTTTGACTGACAGCTCTTCATATCTATGCCAACATAAAAAAAGACCTCAGGTTGTTTTATTTGGCTTAGAACCAGCCTCTTATCGCTACAAACGGCAGATCCAGGAAACTCAGATCTAATTATATTCCTGACAGTTTATTTTCAGTGACCGCCATCATTGTGACACCTTTCTTCTAACTTTAACTTCTCTCTGCACGCTGTCTGCTCTTTGCAGCTAATGAACTTGTCTTTGTTTGCACCTCAGTGGGAGCAAAAGTAAGGGAGGCTGCAGCTTGCAAGAAGTTCTGCATGTTTGTGCACCGGAGAAAGTGTGTGTGCGTCTGTGTGTGCAGGAACAGGTGCGAGGCTCCTTTCCGTGTCAAATTGGAAAACCCCAAACTGTCACGCAAGGAATGTGATCATTCGCTTTATTGCCCTGTGCTACACTCAGATAGCCATGTTTATGTGCATGCCTGTGACACAGAGAGGGGGAATGAGACAATGAGACAAAGAAAGGATGACAGACAAGGAGAGTCAAGCAGCTTAAACTTGGGGAGACAGAGGGGGAAATTATTCTCCATGTTTTCTCACAGCTTTTTACATTAAACAGTTTAAAATGTTCAATCTAAGCCAACTGCCTGCGCCGCAGCCCCAAAGATAGGTCCTCGTTGGTTTTCTGCAGGTGTTCTGCAGATTATGCATTATATTCAATGTCCAAACTAAAATAAAAAAAAAAAGCCAGACTAGAATAAAATAAAAAGGTATGACTAAACAGAACCATTTGACCCTGATCTGTCTTGTTGGTGTTTGGCTAGCATTTGGGTGTAATTTATCCCAGTGGCTCCATGGTATACCCTAGTGCTTCCATTTTGTCCTGTTGTGTTTATACTTATGTAGTTACAACCCGTTTATCGCTCTTGATAGTTATGTGCAGTTGGCTAGCTCAAGTGTGCGGCTGGCTAGGTCAGGTGTGTGGCTGGCTATGTCAGGTGTGACACTGGCTAGCTCAGATGTGCGGCTGGCTAGCTCAGGTGTGCGGCTGGCTAGCTCAGGTATGTGGCTGGCAGCTCAGGTGTGCAGCTGGTTAGCTCAGGTGTGTGACTGGCTAGCTCAGGTGTGCAGCTGGCTAGCTCAGGTGTGTGGCTGGCTAGCTCAGGTGTGCAGCTGGCTAGCTCAGGTGTGCGGCTGGCTACCTCAGGGGTGCAGCTGGTTAGCTCAGGTGTGCGACTGGCTAGCTCAGGTGTGCAGCTGGTTAGCTCAGGTGTGCGACTGGCTAGCTCAGGTGTGCAGCTGGCTAGCTCAGGTGTGTGGCTGGCTAGCTCAAGTGTGCAGCTGGCTAGCTCAGGTGTGTGGCTGGCTAGCTCAAGTGTGCAGCTGGCTAGCTCAGGTGTGCAACTGGCTAGCTCAGGTGTTTGACTGGCTAGCTCAGGTGTGCAGCTGGCTAGCTCAGGTGTGTGACTGGCTAGCTCAGCATCTGCTAAATGTATAAACAAACATAAGATAAAAACATGTGTGTTTCTGTTGAAATGTTAAAATATGTATGAAATGCTACATTCAACTTTATCTCCTGAGGAAATATGACATTCATGACTTAGTGACCTCCTGTCAGTAGCTACAATATAACCTCTTAACGTTATAGTAGACTGGAGGTCAGTTATGTAGAACTTCTTAAAATCACCAGTCAAAGACGGTGTAGAACATCCCTTCCCAGGGTATAAATGGTCAGTATTTAACTTCCCATGGCAGATTTGCTCCTCTTTGTACACAACTTTGAAAAAATAACAAAATAGCTACAGCGTTGGACTAAACCATTAACTAAACCTAAAGCAGGTTTGCAGCAAAGCATGGTAAGGAAATTGTCTGTTTCTACAATTTATTGCTAAAAAGAAAAACAAGATGTGTAAAATTTTTGACAAACCAAATCAAATCAGTCATGCATTATCAGCATGTTTTTTTTATTGGACAGCAAAGCCTTCAGCAGTCCCAACTTGAAAAAGTAGGAAAAGAAAAACTGAATTAGAGAAATATCCACTAGTTTTCCAAACACGTGGACTCCATGCATGCTGAGAGCTACTGTTCTAAATTGTTCTTTTGGAGATAAAAATCCAGTTTCAAAATAATTGCAGTTCGGTTTCATTCTAAACGTTCTTTCCCTTCCTTTGGTTCCTCTTAAGCCTTCTCCTAATCATATCCCTTTTCTCCACCTTCTATCCTCTGCAGGGGGATCGAATGGACATGGAGGCGATGAAATGTAAGGTCCTGACCGTCTCCAACCACAGCTGTGAAAGTCTGACCATGGTAGGAAACACCCTGGAGTGCACCGTTCCCACCGAGCTGCAGGCCGCCACAGCCAAGGAGCTCCAGGTGGAGGTGAGACACGCCTGCGCCCCACGGGCACACAGCAAGCTCCGTTTACTTTCTCAGCCCACGGTTTCCCTCACACCTGTGCAACAGTCCATAAACAGCAGCACTTTAATTAAGACAGCCTGTCGTTTAACAGTAGTCACAAAAACACCTCCACACCCCAACTACATGTTTGCACAGAAGCATGCTCCCACAATTTCAAACCTCTTTTCATAAACTTGTTCCAGGGACTCAGCTGATAAAAACAGTGACATGAATGGATGTTTTTAATGCAACTGCAGGCGGCTTGCATATATGCAACAGCATCAATGACAATACTGCTGGCCATTAATGACTGCACAAGTCTTCCCCAATGATAGCTTAAAAAAATGAGTCTAGACAAACTATGATGCTGATAATGGCTGCCAAACAGATTCTCCGAAGTGAATATGAAGAGAAAACCTCAATAAAACCAGTTATGTTTGTGTTTCTACCATCTGGCTTAGGGGAGGAATCTTTCATCAGCTCATATCTCTATGCCCGCTTATGAGAGACAAACAAGCTGACCAGTTTGGCGGAAATGACCAGATACACTCCAATAAGAAAAGAGCGGCAGCAGTCAGTTTTTATCCATATTATTATTTTGAGTTCATTACATTCAGCTGATTCGAAAACAACCACATGTGATAATAATTTATTAATAATAATAACTGAACTTTATTAAGTTCAAATTGGACAAATTTACCTCTGCATTTAACCCATCTCCTTGGGGAGCAGTGGGCTGCCATCATGAGGCGCCCAACGAGTAACGTGGGGTTAAGGGTTTTGCTCAGGAACCCAGAGTGGAGGCTGAGGGAATTGAACAGGGTACGTGCAACCTTCTCAGAGCACAAGCACACTGCTCTAAACACTAGGCCAACACTCCACTCATGTATTGATCTCTTTAATATATCTACGCTGCTATAGAAGTCTATATTAAAGATATATAGAGGACAATATTTTTAGAGGACAATGGAGAGTCAGTAAAAAACAAATACATCTAGTAAATTTAAATCATAGATTTACAAAATTCTGTTTGAATTTTTTTTTTGTAATTGCTAATTTTTAAATGAAATTATTAAAGAGACATTATATATATAAATTATATATTTTATTTATCAATACTGCAATTTCAGACGTAATTTAAAACCAAGTTTTTTATTTTTATAAGTTATTACTAATCTTTATAGAAGCTTTTAGGTAACTGTTAATCAGATGTATAAGATGATATATCCAACCTGTTAGTAAGCTGTTATTAAACTGTTAACAAGCTGTTGTTGTTGTCAGAAATAAAATCAAGTCAGTTAAAATTTGTTTATTTACATAGCACCAATTCACAACACAAGTCATCTCAAGCACTTTACAGTTCACCAGATCATCCAGTCAAATTGATTCAAAGTTTTCTATCTAAGGAAAACCAGTTGATTGCATCGACTCATTGACTGGGATGCAATCCCTGCATGCTTGCAGCAACAGTGGAGAGGACAAACTCCCTTTTAACAGGAAGAAACCTCCAGCAGAACCAGGCTCAGTGTGAGCGGACATCTGCTGAGGCCAACTGGGGTTCAAGGAGACAGAAGCAGAGATAGAATTTAATTCATAATTAAACTGGTTGGAAAGAATAGGGAAATTTAGTTTGAAAGTACAAAGAGACGTGAAAATAATTTTAGGGTTAAATAAAAAGAATGATGCACATATGAAAATAAATGTCTTTATGCTAATGAAGATGTTTGTTTTGTCATTAAGCATGTAGTCATTCTAATAACCTATAGATGTGGCCTTTTTCATATTTATTACATAGGGATCTAAACAAAAGATTAATGTAGAATGCAACTTTTTTAGGTCATGATCACCCTCAGCAACTAAAACCTAAATATTGTTTGTTGAAGTCACACTAAAAATTTATTAACTTAACATTTTTTCCATGTTTGAGTGAACTAATGAACCCCCACCCCGTCACCCAGCTGCTGTAGCTGTGTCTTAAAACGCTGGTCTTCAGACTCCTTCAGAGATAACATCCGCCGGCCGTCTCCAGACCAACCGCTATCAGGATCATCATTGTTGACTTGTGAACTGGCCTTCAGAGAAAATTCCTTATCTCTGGGTTGGTCTCAGCCAATATCCCTCTAGCTGCACAAACCAACATCAAGGCTTGTCCAGACAGTATTGATTTACAAACACATTATTCCATCTGCAGCAGAGAGCAGTAGGAAGTTAATTTCCACTAAACCTAATAAAAGCAGGACTTATATCTCTGATTTAATCTAACATACTTTATTAGTATTACAACACATCATTTTGTCTTTATAGAATCAAATACCATAGGAGGGCTCACGGACCGGGGTCCTATTGGGGCCACCTGAAATAAAGAACTAGGAGAAAGTTTGTTAAATTCTAGAGGAGTAAAAAGACCTGGACACAGTAGATGGAGAAGCCTCAGATTGTTTCTGCTTTAATGTCACACAGGTTTTGGATCATCAAATGGGGAAGTAGTGGCCTAGTGGTTTGGACATTGTGCTTGAAATCCAGAGGTTCTGAGTTCAAGCCCCACTCCCACAGACTGCCACTCTGGCTCCCTTAGCAAAAACCCTTTACCCACACTGACCAATGGCAGCCCACTGTTCCCCAAGGGGATGGGTTAAATACAGAAATTGGATTTCTCCAATGTGAAAACAATACAGTTAAATTATTAATAAACAGGTTTTAAAGGTTGACTCAGGTAATTTGAGGAAAAACACAAACTATTTCCCCTTTGATATAAAGTTTTAATTAGAAAAAATTCAAACATCGTCTCCTTAATAATTTTTTTGTGAAAAAAAATCAGAAATCAGAAGAAATCCATGTGGGGAAAAATAAGTTTTATAATTTTCCTGTATTTTACAGAGGTTTTATAGAGTCACACTGTTTGACAAGGCCGCCTAGTAATGATAAACACGACGGCTCCTAAATAAGTAACACCGCTGCTCCCTGCAGACCTGCTGCCTTTGCGCCTCACCTCAAACCACGCAAGTTGTGTGCAGCTTAAGTCGACAGCACAGCCAAAAAATCAATCATGAAAAAAATAAATTTGTTGAAGTTTTTAACATTCACTGATTACACACCAAATCCCCTCTCTTTGTTCAGTGGCGCCAAGCGACAGGCATCAGGAATCTGGGCAAGGTGACGATCGCGCAGGAACAGGACTACACAAGCCTCATCGTCGGCTGCGTTTGTGTCAGCCTTGTGCTTCTACTTCTGTTGTCGCTGCTGATGTGGAGGAGGAACAAACACATTGATGGTAAGAGCAGAGAGGTGTGACATACGGAGATACAGATTCATGTCATGACAAATACTGATTATCTTTAATCAATAACAGGTAACCAGACAGTTTTCTAATTGTTCGGTTCTAAATGTTTGAGAAGCTTGCATGCTATAGATTCACTTACATATCTGAACGCTGCAGAAAATTTTCCCACCAACCTGCTTTATTAACACATTTTAACAGCAATCTGCTCTTTGAATAGGCTTTGCATGCACTTTAAGGGGAAAAAATATACTGGTACTCTAACAGTAGAAACTTTTATTATTTTTGGGCTTTTAGTGATGCTTTTACACATTTTTATACAAAAGGGTCAAATTAATTTTTAATTCATTTTTCTCTTTACCAAAGAAGATCTGGTTTTTTGCACGCAGGTTCAAATATATACATAGTCTATGCATTTTCAGTAATATTTCAACAAAACAGGGCCATTATGGGCCAATATGCTTATGTTATTGAATATATAACTTTTATTTATTTTTAGTATCCTGTAGAGCAATTCAGCACTAAAATTTGCTGCCTAGGTGTTAAAAAGGGGAGCCCTAATTGATTTATGGTCACAAAAGGAGCGTTACGGCTTTTGCTATAATGCAGCACTTTGTGTTAATTAAGACAAAGTTAAAGTTAAGTTTATTTAAAAAAAATGCAAATGAAAATGTAGATGAGAGTAAAGGTGAAAAAAGAAGAAATACAGACAGTGTAAAAAAAAAAAGATAAAAAAAGAGAGGTAAACTTGATGATATTCGCTTCTACACCTGCAGAAATTAAGAAGAAAAGAAAACATGACAATGAACAAACAGAATTAAAGAATAGTACACTGTACTATGTAGGGATGTAAATAATAATCTTTTTGTATCGATGCATCGATCCAAAAGCCGACCATCCGATGCATCGACACGTCCGCAAGATAATTGATTCATGTTTTTTTTTTTTCCTCCAGTCTATTTTTATCCATTTGCTCCTGGGCGTAATTCTCCCTCCCGTGCTGCGGTGCCGCTAAACCTATTTTGCCCTCCTACCGCGCTTCCTGGTTATACTCTTACAGCAGTGTGTTGCACTAAGCTTGACACAGACATTTTTAAATTGTGCTCAGTATTGAAGCGTGGTCTGTGCTACACACTGTGGGTCTAGATACGGCCGAGGCGGTGAGGAAGTGGGGACGAGTTTAGTCCGACGACGGAGGGACATGAGAGCCAAAAAGAGCGGAGATCCAGCTGGAAAAAGGGTCCCAGCGTTCTCGCGCACCTCGCTCTTCTAGCGGGTCAAACTTCACGAGTTGTTTTCCGCAATTTCGGTCATAAAAACAAAACAAGCCGGCCTCCTGTCTGGTGCACTGTTTGCGGTCAGCTACAATCTGGGAGAGGTGCAGCGGAGCGTCTCTCAAGGGGGCGGTGACGTTGACACACTGGAGCCTTCTTCTTCTTCTTTTTTTTAATGGCGCTTGGCAAACAACTTATAGGTGCATTACCTTCCAGAATGGAGTATGGACCAGACAAACTATTATATTCTCCCTAAAATACCCGTTCTTCTTAGAAAATTAAAAATACTCCCAAAAACTACATCCCCAGATTACCTTTGAAACAATTCCCTTATATCTAGTTTATTTTTATTCCTGTCTAACTCTCTACACAACATCTCTCTTTCCTGAGTATATTTATTACATTCTAAAAAAATATGTTGGACAGTTTCTCTGGAGCCGAGGTATTGCATTGAACTCATTACACTGATATTGTGCAGTATTTTTGATGCAACTTTTCTACCTCTGTTATTTGCTGTTGTTTCTAAAGAAAATGCATAATGATATTACAGCTTTCATTGATTTATTTCAAACTTGAAACTTTGTTTAGCCTGTAAGGTGTAAAAAAAAAAATAATAATAATAAAGGAAAAATTTAACCGATTAATCGATTAATCGAATCGAATCGTGGTGTATTCTTGAGAATCGAAAATAATCGAATCGTTGGGTCAGGAAATCGATACTGAATCGAATCGCCATGATGGATGTGATTTACACCCCTAGTACTATGCAAGATGTACATAGTAAGAGCCTCAACTTTTGATAAAGTACATTTGAATGTACTGTGTATCTATAAGCACATTAATCCAAAAATATGTGTTTATGTGTGATCGCGGTTGTGTAGACAAGGGGTCTGTTTCATTAAGCAGGCTTAAAAAATTCAGACTAAAAAAAACTCTAAATTTATCTAGCCGAAAGTTTTGGCTAGATCGTTTGTTTTCAAACAGACATGCAGTGTTTGCTTTTAAAACCTAATGTGCGTAGCGGACCTAGTGAAAGATATGTTTTTTTGTATGCAAAAAGCTATGACAAAAATCTGATTATATCAGGAAATAAAACAGCATGATTGGCTGTAATGAGGGTGGAGACAGCAGACACTGAGTTCACTGAAGAAAACCTGCTCCTGACAAGGTTAGCTCTGGGGAGAATGTTACTATGGTGACTGAAACAGAGGTTGAATAAACTCTCTTTGTGAAACAGAAAAGTCAGTTTCACTGTTTAAATTTTAGACCGCATAGAGTATTCGGTAAACCTGCTTCATGAAACTGACCCAAGGTCTCTCCATAAGAATGTTCCAAAGAAGGCGTGAAGAGCCACAGACCTGCACCTCAGGACTCCAAACAGTCAGAGCTCCAGGTATCCAAAGCTCCTCCATAGGACAGGAGCCTGTGAGGACCAATTCATTCTTTTCATTGGCCAAACCTGTTTGGGCAAAATGAGTGATACATTAACACAGTTTTATGGTCTAACAGAAGAGGGTCTCCAAAACAGGTTAAACCTGATTCTAAACTAAATAAAACAAGCCTAACCTCAACTGATTACAAAATATCTTTAAAAGCTTAGTCTCTGCAAGAAAACCAAACAGATTCTGGCATGAGCCTTCTCCCACAATCACTGTTTATGTTCTCTACTTCCGTCTTTAGTTCTTTCATTTTGGAATAGGTTCTTGTCTGTATTTTGTCTTAGTAAAAACAAAACATCTTGCATTTTTCTTGGTTTAGTTCTTGATCATTACTCTTCCCCTCTTCTCTTTGCTACCTCTGCCTTCATTGGTCTCAGCTGTTCCTCGTCTCCCCCTGATCACTTTCACCCATCCTGGCATGCATTTCTTCGCCCTCTCCTCTGCATATAAGCTCTCTGGTTGTCATTGGTCATTGATTTCTTCTTCTCTTGTCCTGGTCTGTCACTCTGCGTAGTTCATTTTCCGATTGTTTGTTCTAAGTTTGATTTTGATTTTGTTATTTAATCCTAATTTTCATTGAAGAACTTTCAGTTATCTGATCAAACGTTTGATAGAATCAAATAAATTTGGTTTTTTTTCTGTTCTTGACTAAAAGAGTATTTTGTGTGTGTATACTTCTGTGCCTATATGGATGACTATGATCCTGTGTGATTTACAATATGTCCAATAAGTCCGAACCTGTGAGCCCAAATTGTTATTTTTTAAACTTATTATGGTCGAATTTTGTGTCATGCTCAAAGGAATCACTAAAAGTCCAAAATTAACACTTCTCTGGTACTAGGAACATCTTAAATCGTGGGTTTAAAGCAAGAGGCCCTATGTTGGATTCATTTTCTAAAGCCAGTGCTTGTACTCATCTATCACGACTTTATCCGCTGGTTTTCGAAATTCCTGAACTTTGTTTTCACATTGTGTGAATTTTTGTTCCTTACCTCTTTCTGAATCCCTTTTAGTTACACTAAACTTATATTACAGTTTTTAAACACATTGGTGTAAAAGAAAATGTCTGTTTTTTTATTTGCTTAAATGTATGACTTTTGATACATTAATATTTGCTTCCAAATAAAGTTGGGGGAATTTTTTCTAATCTTTCCGAAGCATATGTGTCTGCAGCGCTTGGTTTGCATGGTGGGTTCGGAGGAATTTCTTGCGTGGGATGCACTGGTGGAAACACTTAGCTTTTCTGAGTGATCTGTTGCTCTCCCCTGTTGTTTTTATTACTTTTTCTTCCTGTTACCCTTTTACACATTTTTTTCTGTCTGTGCAACATTTATTTCCAGATCTTTCTGAGGTGTGGTATGATGGCCGGGGTCATATCCAGCATCTGGACAGGCTGGCTAACGCGAGGAGCGTCAGCCCCACTAACGAACTCGTGTCCCACGAATCAGTCGACTATAGGACAACCCTGTTGGAGGGTACGTCAAGCAGATAAGACCCCCTATCCCGTCCACCTTAACCCCTATTCTTATGTACCTCCTGCCTTACCTGTTGCCTTCAGTGGCTCGCTCTGCATGCCTCATTATACATGTTTCTAACTAACAGTCTTGCCTGTGCAGATTCTCCTCCTGCAGACATTCCAAGTCAGATGCTAATCAGATGCTAATCATGGGCTATGTGATTGGTTTTTTGAATTATAATCAAACCAATCATATAGCCATCAAAAGGCTCCAACAATCCAGAAAAAAACAAAGGGTGGCTTATTAATTAGCCTCTAACTTGGAGTGTGTGCAGGACAATGGACCTCCATGCGGTTTAAATACATTTTAGTGCTCTAACTAGAGTTTGCTCTAGTGTGAGCAAACAGAATTGTCAAAGACGCCTGAATAGGTGTTGAAACGTCTTCAAAAGTCTGGTTGCCTTCCCATTTAAGCCTGTTCGAGGTAACTAGCCTTTAGCACTGAGTCAATCACTAAGAAAATCGTTGTTGTTAAAATGATCCATTTTAGGTTGTGTTGACTGCATATTTACTAAATATTAATGAAAACATACTCTGTTTTAAAATAAAATAAAGAAATTCACAAGTGCAATTTTGAAAACCAAACATGTCTTAGAAATTCATCTAAGCGCAAATTGTGTCCTGTGCGAGGAATTGCAAAAAACCTAAGAGCTACATATCAGACTCTAGAAGCCTAACATTTTTTCCTGTTTTTTTTTTTTTGTTTGTTTTTTTTTGGTGGACAGCTTGCCAGGAAAACACCTCATTTTTTTTTTTTTTCTTTTTTACAAATAATATGGTAGTAAGACTTAGTTATCCAAAGTTCAATTTAAAAGAACCAATAATACTTCATGAACATAACAGCCTATATGGTGATGCAGTGGTTAGCAAAAATGTCCTCAGCCTGTGCATGTTTTCTATTCATGAGTAGCTTCTTTCCAGATTCACATGCTTCCTTCCCGAGTCCAAAAACAGGACTGGTTCCTTTAAATAGCCATACGTATGAGCCTAATCATTGTGCCTTTGTGGCACTGCCTACTCCTGTACCTTTCTCAGTTTTTAGAGCAGAGCTGCCCAAAGTCGGCCCTTGTACACTATCGTATTTTAGAGTCCAAGTTTAGAAAACCCTGTTTGGTACAGAGAGCTTGGCAGAGAACCAGGTATTGAAAGCATTAAATCCATAAAAAAGTGGATCAAACTTCCTCCCAAACCACGTTTGGCAATGTTCTTCAGAAAATCCTGGGATGTGCAAAACTTTTCGCCAAGAGGTGCTTTTGTTTCAGCCAAATTCTTCGAATTAAAAACATTGTCAATATGAAATTTGTTTATTTTTTTGAAAATGTAGTAACAGGAACAAATCCAGAATCCAGCTGTGTGATAATAGAACAAACTTTGACTGGAAACAAAATGACTGGGAGACTATTTAGGAAACCTAACCACAGGATTGTCTCCAAACCCCCAACATGGAGGGAATTTTGCTCCAATATTGTTGCAAAGAAAAAGTTTCATCAGTAGAAATAATAATAATAAAAAAAAAAAAATTATAACTAGAGATTAAGCTTTTAAAAATGTCTTAATAAAAAAAAGGATTTGAGATTAAGTTTTCTGACATTTTTAATTTTTTTATAAAATTGGGATCTTTTATTTTGTAAATTTTTGTCACATTTTATTGTTTTTTTATGTCTTTTTATTTAATATTTTTAGATTGTGTTTTCATTTTGCATGTCACAAATGCATTATTTGTGTATTATAATTTTTTCAAATGGGGAGTTACTTTTGGGGGTAGGATTTCACTGGAGTGAGGAGTGAGGACGCATTTCTAGTGGTCAGCATGAAAGTTTGGGTTGGGCTTCAACTGAAGAGAGTGTGACCTGTAAAATGCAATTAGGAAAGATTATTTTTGCAAAACTAAATCTAAAAAAGAGAAATTGGAAAAAATACATATTCAGAAAATAAAAGATTTAAACTTAGGTTTGAAAAAAAGTTCTTAAAACCTCTTTTTTTTATTAAGAAGACTTTTCAAAGTTTAATTTCTGGACTGCATTCTTTTTTTATTTCCGTTTACAAAACGCTCACTCCATTGACAAACTGGTTTAGGCTGTAGATGGATGAAAATATGGCATTACAGAAACTATCAACACAATGACCAGAATGGCTGAACTAAATGATTTCAAACAAAAGAAGACGAAAGAAGTTCCGAAACAGGAAAGGGGGTTAAGAGGAAGTAAAGAGTCAGAAAGACTAGACTAACCACAATAAAACAGGAAACAACGGATGAGGAACTCAGAAACTTAAACATTTAGGTTCATGAAATTTCACCTGATAACAGAGTAAATAAGGAATCAAACTAGGATGGATGGACATACAAGAAATCTCCTAACTTATGTATCAGGGATTGTTTTTTTATTGACATCTGGGGACCTTGTGTGGGTTCTGTTCTGGTACTGTGATCTCCAGGATCAGGGCTGAAGCAATTTCTATGGGTGCATTAACTAATGACCTAACGCTTTGCTTTAAGGGAAGTTTTCTTCTATCTTTCACCTCTGTTTCTGTTGCATTTATTAGCCTTCTACAAAAACATTCAGGAAGCAAATCAGAAGCTTTTTTTCCCCTGTTCTGCTCGTTTTCATATTCGGGTCAAATATCTCTCCGTCTTCATAGATGTCACCCTCTGATCATCTAACACACCTTGACGTCTGGAGGTCAAGGTGTTGTGATAGAGCAACCGACATCTGACCCCCTTCTTCTCATTTCTGCCTCACCAGATCAGGGTGTCGACAGGCCCGAGACATGTCGGGCCGCTCCTCCCGTCTACAGAGCCAATGGGGAGCTGCTGTCTCCCAGACTGCGAACACCAGGGAGTGGGATTGGCCTGGGCATGGAAGGGGACTTGGTATCACCCCTCTTGATGGCTCCTGTCCACATCGACCCATCCTGTCTTCACCCAGACCTGCTGACTGAGGTGCAGCATGTGGTGATCGCAAAGGAGCAACTGCTGCTTCACGTCAACCAGGTCATCGGCAGAGGTCAGTGATCTCTTTCCTAAGGTTTGTTTTTTTGTACTGTAGGCATAATAAAAATGGCCTGAGGACTCATGCAGAAGAGAGTTAACAGCTCCCAGACTATAAGTTGGGGGAAGGGAGAAATTGTGATGCACGTGGCTCTTGAACTGCTAAGTCCCTGCCTCTCTATACTTCTGTAAATTAGCATAGATTACTGTAAGTCAACCACCAATAACCATGGCAACAGTGCTATGCAGCAGCCACACCATTGGGGAAATTCATAATTCAGCTGCTACATTTAGTTTAATTACAGCTTGATGCTGATTATTTTAGTGTATGTGAATATGACTCCTATGCTTCTGCTTAAGAAGACAGCCACCAGACGTTAACTGGGATTTAATGGAAGAGTGTCAGATAAAAAAACAAAAATGAGGCTGGTCATCACTTACAGAGCCTGCTTTAAATCCTGCATCATTATAACATTTATTATTAGAATAATTGGAGTTATTATTACAGTATAAAGGAATCCTGAGTTGAGCAGGCCAGCAAACGTCAATGAGACACATTCATGCCATCTTTGTTATTAGTCGCCGCTATCGGGTAGCGACAGCCTATGGCGACAGCGGGCAGCTGTGACAGCAAATCCCTTAATGCATTGCGAGGAGAAACATTCTGGGATACATCTGCCTTTTCTGATGCTTTTCTTTTCTTCTCATACACTTTGTATACACTTTTTCTCTTGCGACCCTTGGCCATTTTCAAAGAACCGCAAAAAAGAGCTTCAATGACTGGCTGAAACTGTAGCTCACCACAGATATACACCTTAAAAAGTGCATGCGCAGAAAAAGATACAGTAGCTAACAGACGGGGACATAGGACGGCCTTACGTAAACATATCATCACAATGATTGATAATTAGGAGGACCACTTATTTAGATTATCCACCCAGAAATAAAAGATTGTCCTCTATACCTTAAAGTATTCCATTTTGTTGGGAGTAGCAGATCCCCTGTATTGTGGCGGGCGATAGTGCTGGGAGTCCCCAAGCTCTCCAAAGCAAAGACCCTTCGTGTAAACCGCGGGCTCTCACGCTAGAATTGTGTTTGGTGTTATTGCTCCACTTTAGCAGTAAATGCAGCCATAGCTGTGATGACAGTAATCCGAGCCACAGTTTAGCTGAATTTGATGTATCTGGGCAACCTACGCATGAGGCATGTGGCTGGTATGGCACGGTTAGAGTGTGAAGTGCCTCAACTGTCAGTCATCTCATTCTGAAGAACAGCTTTTGCTAAGAACACAGCGTAGTGAGAGGACTTGAACAATCTGAACAGGCTGATAACCCACTCTTTGTGTGCTAGCGGGTCACCTCGATTCCTGAATAAAAAAAACATTGTTCTAAGTCATTCAGCCACAACCATTACTTGATTATGAATCTGTGGGGTTGTCTACACCTTGTCCAGGTTGAAAATCATCACACTTCACTTGTAGGGAGTTAATCTACTAAAAAAACTTGTTGATTTTTAACAAGACTTGTTGATGATTCATATGCCTTTTATTGTCCTCTGTGTAAAATTGACGCATGTCTAAAGATGCAAGAAACATGACAGAGGAATATATATATATAGTTTGCATCCAACTGAGGTGGTTTCCACTATTTCTGTGCTTCAGTTTCATTACTCAGGATAAAACAAGAAAAAGCTCCAATTTGTGAAAAAGCGTTGGGTCGATGATGTCTGTCACAGCCTTTAAGAATTCCAGATATAACAAAAACAAAAAAATGTTATTCTTTGTGTGTCCTCAACATGTCCCCAATACCTCACTCAGTCATAGCGTTCATTCTGAAGAGGACTGTTGCTGATATGAACCATTAAGCTTGGTGGGTTTTTGTTCTGATAAACATCCGGTCACTGATAAAAGCAAATCAAGTTAAAAGACACCTGATTGTCTTTCAACCTAAAAAGAAAATTCTTAAATTGGGATGGATTTTATCATTTGTTCCACTCATCTGAGGACAAATTAACCCATTTAAGTGTCCTGCCATAAAACAAACATGATTTCATGACTTTAGAGAAAAAGCTACATCCCAATTACAACCAAGCGTTATTTATACCTTCAGGCTTTTGCACTTCACTAAAAGAGATTTGTTTAAAGTCAGGCCGAATATAAAGTATCAGTGAACTTATAAAAAATAAAAAATCTTTGAGCAGTGGACACACAGGCTCAAAATTAGCCCATTTTACCACATCTAAGTAGGCAGTTTAAACTGAGAGATCAAATTTGATATCGAACAGAGAAGGAGCCTTAACCCTGTAGAGTTCCAGAAAAACAGCATGCACCCCCCACCTCCTCTGATTGTGAATGAACCCCTGCCGTCTGGATTTGGTGGCTGCTGGAGAGCTTTAAAGTGGCATAGGATGATTTGTTCTCAGCTAGTGTTCCCAGGGTCTGATGTGGAAAGTCGTAATCCAACACTTCTAGCCATCTGCAAGGACGTGATCGGAGAACGCCGCGCTCATTCCGGTCCTGCAGACTTCTCAGCCTGGACCAAGCCCCCTGGCTTAAATAAGGGATATAATTCAATAAAACACACAATAACTTAGTAGGGTTGGATGCTTTTTATTAGCCTGTTATAAAGCCTAATACTGAGTTACTTGGGAGGGACTGATTTTGGGGGGTTACTTTGAAACAATTGGCTGTATAGGAAGAAAAAAAAACACTTAAATTGTCTTTTTATTGATTAAAGAACTATTACTACTTACAAAAACTGTGAAAAGACCAAAGTCCTCCTAGCTTCTCCTAGTTGTGCAGACACTCTTTACTATTTACAAAAAAAATGTCTCCTTTACCTCACAGGTTATTTCCAACTAAATAACTGACATAAATTGTGTGACCCTTGCCTTGTCTTTGCTGAAGCCATTTTGCACATGCATCATCAGGTTTGAACAGAAGCTTTTTGAACTCTGACTGATGTACATCATGTTATAACCTGCAGGCCACTTTGGCTGTGTTTTCCACGGAACGTTGCTGGAGTCAGATGGGCAGAAACAACACTGTGCAGTCAAGTCCCTGAACCGTAAGTAAAAGCTCTCCTTATATCTAGTAAGTGAAGGGTTTCTTAATCAGGTAAGGGATATAGGGGATCAGAATGAAAGGTTGTATAAAAGTTAAGGCAAAGTTGCTTCATTCATAATTGTGTTGATGATACAAGCCTGTTTTTGATAAGCATAAAAATCATCCAGCTTTGTACATAGTCTGATTTTCAGATTTGATGTTTCAGGTCATTATAAAATCTCTCATATCCAATAGAAATCTAAAACCTAAGTAGATTCATGTTAATATATCCGCATAGAAACACTCCATAGGCTGAATCAAGCTAATAATTTGGGTTGATTCTGCAGCACACGGCAGCCCATCATTTGGAAATATAAAGCCATCTGCCTGATAATCTAATCTGTGATCAAAATAAGACAAATTGAATAACAAATCTTTGGGAATCTTTATCTTTTTGATGCTAAACAAAACCGGAAGCCAATCTCATCCATATTTTTTACTTAAAATGTCTTTTTTCACTGTCTAATATAAAAGGATGAATTTAGATTTTTCAATAAGGTTCTGTATAATTGTTTCTTCAACATTGAGAAAAAAGATATGCTATTCCCATAAGCCTTTTGTTAATAAAGGGAAGTTCTCAGAGTTGAGGATGACTATCAGTTAGCCAGAGAACCATCGCTGCTTTAAGTGACCTTAAAGGAATAGTACACCCAAAACATGATTAGCCTTCATTTTCTACTCACCCCCATGCTGAACAACACTCTGGAGTACTTTTTTGATATCTCAAATGCATCTAGAGATCTGGGAGGCTTCTTGCTGTCTGCTGACATTCAAATAATGGAGGTCTATGGTGCCCGAGGCAGAAAGGTCCATAAAATTCCACAAAAAATGTGTCAATATTCCTCCATACTGCTCGTCCAATGTATTCCAAGTGTCCTGAGTGGGTAGGGTCCATAATTTACTCGAAACGAAGTCATTTAGAATGTTTTTAGAGCATAAACAGTAGTGTATAGGATTTCCTGAAAGCGCGCGCCGGCGCGTTCATGACGCTACGGAAGCCGGCAGACCAAACCAGATGAAAGTGCGCATTCAGCGTCTGCTCTGCCGATAATGCAAGCGTAGAAGAAGAAATGTGCTGTTTACCTGTGCAAAGAAAGAAACAACGAAAGAAAAATGTCTGAGGACTTCAGTGTTGAGGAAGAGCATGAGTTCTTTGCCGAGCTGAATGCGCACTTTCATCCGGTTTGGTCTGCTGCGGTTTCCGTAGCGTCATGAACGCACTTTCAGGAAATCCTATACACTACAGTTTATGCTCTAAAAACATTCTAAATGACTTCGTTTCGAGTAAATTCTGGATGCTACCCACTCAGGACACTTGGAATACATTGGACGAGCAGTATGGAGGAATATTTACACGTTTTTTGTGGACTTTTATGGACCTTTCTGTCTCGGGCACAATAGACCTCCATTATTTGAATGTCAGCAGACAGCAAGAAGCCTCCCAGATCTCCAGATGCATTTGAGATATCAAAAAAGAACTCCAGAGTGTTGTTCAGCATGGGGGTGAGTAGAAAATGAAGGCTAATCATGTTTTGGGTGTACTATTCCTTTAACCTTGTAAATCATTTATAAGGTGAAAAAGTATGTTACAGTGGGTAACTAGGTCATTCCAGCTAAGTGAAAAAAGTTAAAAAAAATAAACCACTGGACTTTGTTTTCCAAGTTCGAAGACCAAAACATCTCGCCTGGTCAGCTAAGCCAACAGGGACCCTAACGACTCCCTTTTCAGAGGCATAGACCCGTATCAGGTCTTGCAGGCTAACAACAACCTCAGCGACTCCCTATTCCTAAGGGGTGGACGTGTTTTTTGGTTCAATTTACATGTTTTTTAAGCCATAACTATACTTTAGTTTGTGCCACTCTCTAAGCCTGGAACTCAAACCCTACTCCAGACATTTTGAATTGAGAAAGCTTCCTAAATGGGAAGAGAAACATCTTCAAACTTAGAAAACAAAGTCCAGTGGATTGCTTTTTTTTATTTTATTTTTTACTTTGTTGGGATGACTATGAGCTGGATGAATCTTCACCAGCTTGGGTAACTATGGAAATTAACGTTCTGACTTGTTGCTGCTCCGTTTAGTAGAAAAAACATCTGTGCCTCAAGTTACTCTGACTAACTCTGCAAAGAAGGGATTAAAAGGTAGGGTTTTGCATAACTTGTGCAGAAGTATTAAGACGTTATGTCACTGTGCTCTCCAGGTGTAATAGTTGTTTAAAATATGAGCTGATCCAAAAAAGCAGGTGACCAACTTGCGCCAGCTTTGAGGACTGGTTTGCTGTTCCTCCAAACTTTAGGTGATTTGTTTGTCTTCTGCCCATAAAGGGATCTATTACAGAGTGTAACTTCATATTATCTAATTTACAAAAGTCTAAACTAACCCTTAAAATTACGACTAACCTTGCCCTGATTTAGATGAGTTTGGATTACAAAGATTATTTCTGTTGACTGAATATGAGAAAAAAAAATGCTTTTATAGAACAAAAGTTAAAACTGGAGGTAACAAACTGATCTAAAAAGAGAGGCATTTATTTTGCATGTCAGGCAGTAAGGAAAAAATATTGTAGGGCTTTGTAAAACAGCGTACCTAAATATGTGGTTTTAACTGTGATAATTAGTCAAACCAGGTTACAACAGAAACCACTCAGCTTCCAGCAAGGCTTGGTGCAGTGTGTTCCTGTCTAAACATGCACACGCTCATCTGTCTGCACTGTACTGCATCTTTACTGTATGATGTCACATCTCCCAACAGTGGGATTATGGATCTCATTCTTTCAAAGCCCACAATCCCTTTGAGCTCAAGCTAATGGTGATGAATGAGCTTCCAGTGGTGAGGACGACATTAGGGTCCCGGCTAATCTTGTAACCTGTCAGCTGAGGCAGGGAGATTGATGCTGAAACGATATGGAGGAATCACCCATGCAGACAGGAGAAGCCACATGCAAAACAGAGGCAGCCTCAGCTCAGGGTCTGGTCCACAGGGACTTTAACCTTATTTTATTCATTGTTGGAAACAATCAGGGCATAGTGCTAGTTTTGGCTTTTTGTGTTGTATTTTAAGTCTTGGTCATAATTTAATGCTCTATGATGATTAAACCTTAAGGCCACTGACCCTTAAGTGAAGCTCACCATATACCTTAATACCCCCTATTTCTAACCAGATTATGTCAGAGGTAAAGGAGTAAAGGGCATGATCCCAGAAACAGGAATGCTTTCAGCAAATAGACATTGGCAAATTTCTGATGGGCTCTTTTTTTTCCAGGATAGCTGTCTATACTTTGCATTGCTCCTAAATGTATAGAATATTCCAGGACAAATTTTTAGTGGTATTTAAACAAAATGATTATGACTGGCATTGACAGAAATGTAGACCATAGGAACATATACAATGAAATCGGCAGATAATGAAGTCCTCAACTTTATGGAGAGTTAATAGCTACAGACCTTCACATGTAATCTGGCTTTTAGCTTAGTCCCAAAACTGGTTAATAAAGCTTTGTGGGAGGGGCTTCCATAACTAAGTGGATTTATTCAATCCTAACAAAACCCAACTCTAGAGCAGTTGGAGGGTGTTTTCTGGAGTGGCCAATTTAATCTCAGTGTTTGGTAATACAGTGAAATATTGTGCTAAGAAGTTGTTGTGGGGCTTTAAGGTATCTCACTGCACTATGTCTGGTGTAAGGCTTGATGTTGGGTCGTGGTGTGGGCCTGGTTTTCAGGAATTGGGCTCAAACCTTGGTGAGCAGTTTGGAGATGACCATATTCTGTTTTAACATGAATCTATACCACGAAAAAAAAAAAAAAAAAGGTAAATGAACACATACAGTAGATGATGGGAGAACTTTACTGAGCCGAGCCCTATAAACTCATTTTGGATAAATCAGAACAGATACTCTGAGCCAGGCTGTGTTGTCCAACATCGATATCTGATCTTTTAAATGTGTTTCTGGAAGATAACAACAAAATGTCTACAAATATTCCTCCTAAACTTGTGAAAAGCCCTCCTTAAACAGTTTAAGCTATTATAGCCCGACTGTAGCATGGAAGGCAAGGTTTAAATTGATTAAAGCCTTGCATCTTTTGAAGTTTCTCTTAAAGCAAATTTTCCTGAATATAGTTCAAAGCAGTGGAGAAATCAAAGATAACGATCCTCACAGTCCAGTTGATTTGTTGAAGCACAGGTATGATGTCTCTACCATCAGCTTCAAGCCTAAGTAGATCCTCAAGGGCGCTAGTTTATTTTACCCGAGTCGGCCTGCTTGATTCTTTTGTGATTTTTGAAATATCAGGGCAACATATTTTCTTAGCTGTTTCGTTGGCTCTGTCCAGACTTCCATCTGCCTGATCTGCCCTCTGCTAAAAGCTGTAATCTTCTTCATCTCTGACACACTTCTTCAGTATTATTCTGCTGGAGGTAGTTCTTCCTTTGGACATCCTTTTCTCTCTAACCTTGATTTTAAGTTGCTTCATTATACTGCTAAATAATTCATTGTCTCCCTTCCTGAGGGTTACTTTTGCCTGTTTCCTTTAGTTCCTTTCAGATCTGAGTTTTATTAGGTTTTTTTAAAGGTTGATGCCCCTGAGAAAGATTCCTACACTAAGCAGAGAAAAACATTATACCAATCTACTGATGTTTCCACTGAGAAAAAATAGCAAGAAAAAGAAATGTAACAGAGCCATTGCAATAAGTTGCATCCTTGTGCTGCAAGAGTTTGGAGAGTTTGAATCAGAGTATTTGAGTTCCTGTCTTTAATATTTAGCATTTCTCTTAAGGTTGAACCTGAGCTGTATTATTTATCTACAGGAATTACAGACTTGGAGGAGGTTTCCCAGTTTCTGAAGGAGGGTATCATCATGAAAGACTTCAGCCACCCCAATGTTCTCTCTCTGCTGGGCATCTGCCTTCCACCTGAGGGCTCGCCATTGGTGGTCCTGCCCTACATGAAACATGGCGACCTTCGCAACTTCATCCGCGATGAAGGACATGTAAGCTGCAATGAAGACATTATAAAAAACTAACGCCTTGAATTTAGATGTTGATATTTTGGTTTGATGATTGACCAACTGGCAAATGTGATTGTCATCCAGAACCCAACAGTGAAGGACCTGATGGGCTTTGGGCTACAGGTGGCCATGGGGATGGAATATCTTGCCAGTAAGAAGTTTGTCCACCGAGACCTGGCTGCCAGAAACTGCATGTAAGACACTTTAGTTACATGATTCATCCATTGTTTCCTCCACAGTTACAACTAACTTCAAGGAGTCTAAATATTTGATACCAGCACTGTGTCACAAGTTGCACTGTTCTTAGGGAATATGACATTCTGGATCCAAACTACATACATTAGATATGAATACATTGTTAATTAATAAAACAAAGGATGCGCTAACTCTACTGTGCATGTCTTGCCTGTCAAATCACACCAACTGCCATTTTTTTCTAAAAAGCACATGGCATGTAGTGTTTTAGAAAATTACAGTGTAGTAGGATCACTGAATGATTTCAAATAACTTTTTTTTAAGCAGTTTTGTCTCACTGATGGCTCCCATTTTGTTTCTTGTTATACATATGGAAGAAAAAGGTGATGAAACTAAAAGTAACAACAACAAGAAAGTAACAACAAGAAAAGGCAACCAGATTAAATGAAACCATGCAAAAGTAACTAATTCTTTGTCCTGCCAGGTTGGATGAGAGCTACACAGTAAAGGTGGCAGACTTTGGTCTCGCTAGAGATGTTTACGACAAAGAGTATTACAGCGTCCACAACAAGAGCGGAGTCAAGCTGCCTGTTAAGTGGATGGCTCTTGAAAGTCTCCAAACCCACAAGTTCACCACCAAGTCAGACGTGGTGAGAAATCTGTATTTATTGTAATCTATTAAAAATGCAAAGGTCTTACATTTCTTGGGTAAAAGAACTGAACCTTTACGTAGAGAAACTTATTTTGTCATATAAATATGCTCTTTAAACCATGACTTTTTCCTCTGATTGTGAAGTTTATGACAAATATTTGTTAATTGAGGAAACTTATCCTGCTGCGTTTTTTACAGTGGTCTTTTGGAGTTTTGCTCTGGGAACTAATGACACGTGGAGCCCCACCATACTCTGATGTGAACTCCTTTGACATCACGGTCTTCCTCCTGCAGGGGAGGAGACTGCTGCAGCCGGAGTTCTGCCCTGATGCTCTGTAAGTTTGCATAGATTACCAGCTTTTGTTCACATCATTCACAGCTTGTTTAGTCTGATTATAGGTATATTACATCTAAAATAAATGTTATATGGTTAAAATTTGAAAGTAGAGAAGTAGTAGGTAAACTAGTAAAGCTCTTGATGCAGATTTATTACACGTAGGCATTAAAGATGTAAAAACATGCAAACTTGGAAGGGTTTGCAAAACTGATCTACTAATTAGAATGTGTCCATTTAGCACAATTATGGAGAACATACGCTGCTCATTGCAGCAAGCACAATACTTTAAGGAGGATTTGCAAATGTAGTTACATACCACCCACAGTGCAATTTATAAAGTATAAAACGTAACGTATGCAAAATTGTCTGTGATTATTGTGGTGAGAAAGAGGCTTGACAGACAAAATATACAGACAGAGAATATATTCAATGCATGTCAACATACTTGGTCTGTCAGCAATAAAAGGGACATATCAACTATCAAGTAGTTCTGTTTAACGGTAAAGCCCTTTGCAACGCGGCAGTTTTTTGCATCTGGATGCATCATTCCAGATGTTAGTACAGTCTCCCAGGGTACTGTTTCTGGTGTGCTGACCAGCAGCGCCAGATTGATTCTAGAGGTGTGGGGGCTGGGGGTGTTATGTTGCCTTGCACCTGTCAGCGCATACTTTTAATCACCACCAGTAGATCAAGGGGAAATGGAAACTGCAACAAGTCTGTCAGAGTCTGAAAACTGAAATAATTCATCTGACAAAATGCAACCCTGGGAGTTTATGAGGGTTTAATTTTTTTCCAAGGATCTCTGTGTTTTTTTGATGATAAAATGGCATATTATTTAATTATTATTATATTTTATAATGACATTAATAGCTTCTTTCAGTTTGTCACTATCTAAGACAGCTGTCAGTACAACTGTGGTGCCAAAAAAACCACAATCTGCTGCGGATGTTTTCCCACATGTTTCTTTTTATTCAAAGTATGCTTCAGGAATGTTGATTACTAGTAAGTGAATTTCAGACAAACGTTTTGTCTTCTGTTTTTGTCTTGTAAATGGATAGATTTTTTTTTCTTTTGGAAAACTGGAAAACAAACCAAATCTTATTTTATCTTTTTTAATAAACTCAACACTGTAGTATCATCTTTAAGCTCGAGAAGAAAAGTAACCAAAACTCCTGCCTTTCAAACACATGTCCAATCTCTTCCCCTAAACTCTCAGGCAGTAACACATGTTTAAATAAGGTGCTCCATAACAGTTTTGTATCTGTTATCCATTACCCACGTAATCTCAACTGGTCAGATACTACAGCCCTAAAAATTACACATGCAATCTTTTATTTATGCAAACAATTTAGAGCTTGTTTTGGGGGGGTTTGGTAGATGGTTGTGTTTTTCAGACAATAAAAAACCTAATTCAGTGTTTTAGAATATATTCATATTTCTGAAAAGTCCAGACAGTTGATTTATTCTCAAAAAGGATGGCAAGCTACCAAATATAATTGCATAAGAGGCTGGTTGTTGACAGAGGGCTGTATCCAAGCACATTTATAGAACATAGGGTTTTAGCAAAATGATGATCTGGTAACACAGATAAAACCAACCTTCAATGGATTATTAAGCAAAATGTATTCAAGGGTGAGCTATTTAAAACATATCTGTTTAAACTATCCTTTCTTATTGATCCAGTTTCATATTTGAATTTTCTGAAACACATATTTAATTTTTTCATTCTTTAAGCCATAATCTTCTAGATCAGAGGTTCTCATCCTGTTCCTCAGGTACCCCTGCCCAGCGTGTTTTAGGTGTCTCTCTGCTTCCACACACCTGACTTAAATGAATCAGCCAACTTCAGCACTAGGTTGCTGCTGAGGAGTCCACATAATCATTTTAATCAGGTGTGCTGCAACTGAGAGGCACCTAAAACCTACAGGGCAGTGCTACCTGAGGAACGGGATTGAAAACCTATGATCTTACAATACATCTTACAATAATAAAGAATCCTCTCTCTGAAAAAAAAGTTAGAAAAATTGTTGAACTTTTTTATCAAAATTTTGGGGGATGATTTCTGCAGTGGAGCAGTTGGTAACACTGCTGCCTTGCTGCAAGAGGGTTCTGGGTTTGAGTACCAGGGTCTTTCTGCATGAAGTTTGCATGTTCTCCCAGAGCATGCGTGGGTTCTCTCCGGGTACTCCGGCTTCCTCCCACAGTCTAAAAACATGACTGTTAGGTTTATAAGCTTCTCTTAATTCTTAGGTGTGAGTGGGTTTGTGAATGGTTGTTTGTCTCTGTGTTGCCCTGCGATAGACTGGCAATCTGTCTAGGGTGTACCCGCCTCTCGCCTGTATACAGCTGGAGACAGAAAATGAATGGATGGAAATCTGCATAACATACTAAAAAGCTGTGTTTTCAGTGCCTAATGAAAACATATTGTGTTATCAAGAGAGAGCAGCTAGAAAGAAAAGCAGTAACAGTGATGACCTTTATAAACAATAGACATATAAAATATAAACATAGATACATTTTTTGTTACAAATCTCAGTCAGCTAGAGACTAAAATGGATGGTACACCACATCAATCGCTAGGGTCAAAAAAAAGTCACCTTCCTTTTTTTACCACGTTTTAATAGAAATCATGATAAAGTATGCAAATTATTTTCTGTTTGCCCTGTATGTGATAGATCTTCGTTTCTGTGGTCTTTCCCACAGATCACCCATCAGTCATGCTGCTGCTGGCAGTTCTCACAACAGCTGGATATATTTTTACATCTAAAATATATGACCTAGATGAAAAAGACAAGAAAGACATAAAATATGATTTTATTATCTTAATTTAAGACATCGCTTTTTTTAATGATTAAAGTAAACATCTTCCAGATGACCAAATTAGTAAATAGAATTTGTAATTTATGAGTGCAGAATAATTACGTCCAGATTGAGAAAGTTTTTATATGTCAGGCAATCATGCTTGTCTAATTCTAAGGCAGTCCTAATGGTATTAAACAAAGCTATCTTTTTCCTCCTTATTGAATTTCCATCTCTTTTTTAATAATATCTGTTTAGGTTGGATCTGTTTTACTCTTTCTAGATCTTGAATCAGACTAAAGTAGCCAAAATTCAAAACCCAAGAAGACCAGCCTTACTTCACCATACACCTTACTAGTTACTAGTATATTTTTACTCAAGTAGAAAAATAAAGTATTGTGATTGTGGGTTATGGTTCGGTTATTTCAAAGAGTTAATGAAGTTAGTGTAACTAAATGCATTTATATACTACCTAAGTCAGGCTAAACAAAACAGTATAACTAACATAGTTCATATATTCTCATTGAAAACTGTACTCAAGATAGTGTTTGAAAAAAAAACATATGGACACATATTTGTATTAGTTTTAGTTTTAACAAGTTGGTTGTCTAGAGTCATATATATATATATATATATATATATATATATATATATATATTATATATATATATATATATATATATATATATATATATATATATATATATATATATATATATATATATATATATATATATATATATATATATATATATATATATACCTGGGAGCAACTTTTTTAGATCTCTAAAGTTGAAATAACACTTGAGATACTTCCGCAAGTACCAGCTAACGTAAAAAAGAAGGCCCCAAAGTTACAGAGCAGAAGCAAAGAGAAGTAAGAGTAATCCAAGCCATTTGTGGACAATACTTTCTTGCAGGGAAACTCAGGAGGTTGGCTAGTAATGCTTGTGAACAACAGATGTTGTCATCCATGACATGTTACCATGAATATTCGAATGCAGCCCAGATAATAAACCCTTGGCATTTTGTTTTGGCCCACATTATTTGCCCTTGTTGAGAAAGTCGAGATAACCTGGCAGAAGTAAAAACAGTAACTGAAGCTACAGTCCTCTTAACATAGCTGTAGATTTATTTATCGGTCAGTTTCTGAAATAATCATAATTTTATCATTCATGTAAGAAGATTTCACTATAAAACATGAATAAATGTTTGCCTGTGATCTTTTTTATATCGGTGTGTAAAAAGGATGCAGGTTTGGTTAATAGCAACATAGCTGCTGTCATGTATTGTAAACATCAATAATGTAAACAACGTCTCTGAGCTCCTGACAGCATATAGCCCTTTAGTTGAGCTTCAGTACCAAGCTAATGGAGGCAGAGAGTAACTTTAAAAATGTTTAGCGGATTTAAAAATTAGCTAAATATTTGTTCTTTAGTTCTACATCTGTTTTTTTTTTTTTTTTTTTTTTTTTTTTTTTTTTTTTTTTTTACTTCCAACTTTTTTTTTTACTTTCACACATTGATCAAAAGTGTTGGATTCGATTTAGACATCCTTAAGTGCCTAAAGTGCAGGTTGGCCTTTCATGTAACAGATTTAGAAACTTATGGAAATAATAACACCAGTTACATCAGAGCTATATTGTAGAACCAAACCCCACAATAATCTGAACAACTGATAAGTTTATGACATATCGTGTCTGTGTGTGTGTGATATATTGGGAGGGGATGGGAGTGTTCGTCTGGAAGGGAGGCAGAGGCCCAAAAGTACACATGAGGAAGTGATATATTTCTACATACATTCCTGTAATTCTTCCCTGCTGATGCTTCTCAGCAGACTTAAGGTAGCAACAGGAACCAGCATGTTATTTTAACTTGTATAATAATGCTGCAAACTCTGTCAGTTTTTAATGGTATGTTCTAGCAGCTCAAAGGAATATATATATATATATATATATATATATATATATATATATATATATATATATATATATATATATATATATATATATATATATATATATATATATTTTTTTTTTTTTTTTTTTTTTTTTTTTTTTTTTTTTTTTCTGATGGAGTTTCGGCATGGATTAAAATCACTGAGTTTAGCTTTGAAGGCTGATGTACATGTCCTTTTTTTATGTCTCCTTTCTTGGAAGATGGACTCGTACTTTATCAGATAAAGTACTCATTTAGAGAGACTCCAGTAAAAATCCACTTTAATGTTCTGAAACAAATTTGAAATAAGAGCAGAGAGGACTGTGATTCTACTACAATTTTTAGTTTACGGACTGATAAACTACTAATAAGAATGCTATTAACCGAATTACCTTTTGTAAGAAAAGCAAAAAAAGAACTGTTATTGACTATCTATGTAGTTTTGTTATTATGTAGTGTTCAAAACTGAGCAGGTTTATTGAACTTAAATCTAACAAGATGCTCTGTCAGCCCAACAGGATGGGTCACCTTGTCAAATCCTGGGCAAAACTCCACCAAAAACTCATCTTTTTTTTTCCCAAACAACATACCCCAGCATATCCCCAATGTAATGTTTTATAACTTCTAAAAAGTGTGTGCCACAAACCAAAAAAAAAAAATGTAAAAGTACATAGTGATATTTTATGCCTGCATCTGAAAGACCAAAATCCAGTTTATTATTATAAAAAATAAGTCTATATAGTTCAAGCCTCCTTCCTAATAGTGTTTTTTAAAGTCCTTTTTGGGCTTAAATAGAACCTCCAGCACCGGGTGCAATAAGGTGATATAAACAGACTTAGTGAAATCTACTGGCAGTACTTCTGAACCATCAGAAACCAGATGGGAGAGATTGATGCAGCTACTAATTAAATCCTGACGATGCTGTAATGCCTCATGATAAACCCAACAATTTGCAGTTTTCAAAGACCTTTTCCTATTTCAAGTTCCATTGAGTTCTCCCCTCCCTGTTCTTTAGGGATAGCAGTACTATCACAGGAAATTGGTGTATAGTATAGTCATTTGGGGCAGAATATTTACCAATTCCTAACACAGCTGATACACACAGGATTGACAACACAGACATTCAAGATATATTACATGTAAGATGTGTTTTCTAGGTGATTCTAGTCCTGTCATAATAGGGTAGCCTGGCCAGCTTGACTGAATTACACAGAGCGTGATTCCGTCTGGGAAACCGCTGTTGACTCTGGCCAAATCTGTTGCGACCAATCACAGCTCAGGAGGCGGGACTTTACAATCTGTCTTTCTGCTTTTCTGCTAGCATAGCAGCAAGATGGCGACTGCATTATGCCTGTTTTAATTAGGCTCTTTTTGATGTCCTGAGTGAGATTGAGTTTACCTTAATTGGATTTTGACTCCCTGGTCTGAAAGTTGTCAAATTAAGTACATTGTTTAAGATTAAAAGTCCTCCAAGTTGCGACGTGTGACGATTTTTCAATGAAAGACATTTTTTTGTGCATGGACTGGAATGAAAGGAGGGCAAAGTCTTTGTATGACAAGATGCTTTTTGTAACATCATCATATATTATTCTCTCTATTTAAGTAGCCTGACTTCCTAAAATGATCAAAATAGGCAGGGTATGTTCAGTTGGAGCCACTCTCACCATTTGGCTTGCTAAGCTGTGGGACTTTTCATCACCATAGAGTATCTGTGCTGAGAGAAAGATAATAAATTATCATTGGGTCATTTCTGTGACTTTGAGTACTTAGTTATATTGTATTTGTACGCAGGGTTCATGGTCAGGTTCTCCAATACAGGAGACAACTGGGTTCATAGATGCAAAACCCAGCAACGGTGATGATATTAGATACATAACTGTTAATGTCTATTAGTAACAGGAATACATTCATCCTGAACCTATTTGTTAAAGGAACAGTGTGTCAGATTTACCGTCACCTAGTGGTGCAATAAATTAATTACAATTGACCGTCTGGTGCCTCCCTGTTAAGCATGAGAACTACTACGGAAGGCATTCTGCAACATTCTACTCTCTGAATGGAAGGACACATTAACCTCTGTCACTTTTTAAATTCAGCTAACAATAAACAGATGAAACATTACTCTGAAAGCACGACTGCCAGAAGCTGACACTGTTTAGCTGATCTGATTTCTGTGAAGAAGAACAGCAGCTGATAAATTTTGCATCAAACTCATCCAGTAGGCTAAGAAACAAACTAGCCGTCTCTGTTGGGGGACAGAAAAGCCCGCGATCTACATATCTAGCTATCAATTTGATATATCTGTGGTTTCAACTGACATTTAAAAAGCATTAAGTAAATGCAAAATGTTTTTCCATGTGATCTATACTGTAATGTATTAGTACAGGGTAATGAATGCTTATAGCGCTTTTTCAGAGCTTATTATGTAGAACCCAGCAGCTGTGTGCTCTCTTGGTCCTGATGCCTGTCCTCTCCTCCCCTCAGCTACACGGTGATGATCGAATGCTGGCATCCAAAGCCCGAACGCCGACCCTCCTTCTCAGAGCTGGTTTCCCGCATCTCCGCCATCTTCTCCAGCTTCAGCGGGGAGCACTATGTCCTCCTCAACACCACCTACGTCAACATTGAGAAGATGACCCCCTACCCTTCGCTTCTCAGCTCCACGTCATCTTCTTCGGGTTCCTCCTCTGAGCCCTCCACCTCCACGTCCCTGCCCTCCCACACGCCGCTCCTCTGTCGCGTGGAGCGTGACTGTTGCACCTGAAAGACAAAGGAAGAGTTGGCAATCGTCACTGGACAGTCAGACTCTGAGAGGGAGAAAGCAAGGAACTACTGTCTGTCTATGCTAAACACTGGACACTGCGTGCCGAGGACTCCACAGATCTCTTTGGGCCTTAGACTGTTTTCTCAGCGTAAATAGATTGTGATCCTTTGGAAATCTCAATCTGAAAAGAGCGTCTTCAAGAGATGACCTTCTTGACTCCCACCACAAACCTTGAGGAGCACAGTTGCTGTCAAAGAGTTTCAGCTGACAAAGCCTTCCTGGCAAAAAGCACATCTTACTTGCAGGTTTCTCCTCCCTCGTGATGGAATGTGCTTGAAGAAAACAATGTCTTCACCTTCACTCTGTAATGTGAATAATGTGAACATGTACTGTTTTATAAATCCCTCTCTTCTTTATAAACTCAAATTGAGACAGTTTAGCCTGCTCTGGTGCATTATGGTGTTCCTGGTGGCTAAAGTCGGCCGCAGCAGCAAGTGTGAAGCCCCTGCTGCTGTGTGCATTTCACTGGATAATTTATTTGTATTCCGACCATTAGACAGATAGCTTTCACATGACTGAGGGCAAAAAAAAAGCTTGTAAGTGTGGCCCACCCTTGTGAAACCCCCCAGATGGTTTCTAGGTCAGTTAATCATATATAAGGAAAAAGAGCTTGGGTGATATGGAGTGAATTTTGTTCTATTATTTTTGCAATCAACATATTTTGTAAATAATTTTTTTTTTTTATTCAATCTACAGACAAAAGCTTTAAAAACTTAATAATCAAAAACAGGTTTGACAGTAAGTTTGCTAGTTCTTAGATTTTATTTTGTTCCCACATTTTTTCATATTGATTGCAGGTTTTCTTCCTTTTTTCCTTCACAGATTCTATATTTTCAAACCGTATTTGTTCAAATTTCTCTTGTGTGTACAGGAGTTTTATAAATTGCATTAGTTTCTTCACTTTAAGCCCCATACAAACACTCGCTCTTGACCAACAAAAATGTTTTTGCTAACGTCCAGCAGACCAATAGGAAAGGCATCATGCTTCTTCACTCCAGAGGGATGCCCACCCCCTGGAGTGAAAACTATAGCCCCATTTCCACTACCCTCTGAAAACCGATCCGAGTCCGGACCGAGCTTGGATCAGTTAACCGTGCCGAGCTTGATTCCTTACTGATCATGCCAGTATGGTTCCTCGCCTCCTAGTGACGATCTACGGCACTACTGCTATCTACAGGTAACCAAGCAAATCAATATGGCGGCGCCCGTAATATTCAGGAAGTTTGGTTATAATTGTGATGTTTTTGTTCTTTGCGGAGAGTCAGGCGAAGATGGCAGGCTTTGGTGAATTTTCTTGATAGAGTCGGCTTTTGGGAAGTGGATATGACAGATGATAGTCTAATCACGGCTTACAGACGCACAATGATAGACCCTGAAGTTCTTTACTAAAACCCAAGCAGAACCATCACTGGAAATCGTATGGCACGGTTGAGAAGCTAGTATTTTTATGAATGTCTGAAATTTCATGATTACGTAAGGCTGACTAGATAACGCGGTCTGCTCATGCGCTCATTGTTATCGGAGAACCGCGCCAGAACTGAACCACACCGAGGCCCTACTCATGAACTAGTTCCAGTTTAGTGCGGTTCGGTTCAGTTTTGCCTGCCATTTACACTCAACAGTTATCTCTGTTACCGTGCTCGGACCGATCTCGGCACGTTATAAAAAAAGGTAGTGTAAATGGGGCTAATGTCACCTGGAAAATGCACTTTGAAAAAAAATGGAATTGGCAAAATTTATTCTAAAAAGAGAAATTTGAAAATAAAGTTTGAAAAAATAAAATATAAAAATAATGAAATACTTAAAAAAACAAGACTTAAAAAAAATACCTTATTTTAAGTGTAACTTCTGGTTCTTTTTTTAATTTATTTACATTTACAAAGTGTGTTTTTAGTTTGCAACAATACTGGAACCAAATTCCCTCCATAGAACCCTCTAAGGGAACAGAGATACAGCACAATAGAACCAAGTCCTGAGTTTTAGTTGTTTGTTTCTTTGTGACAGGTACACTCAACACACTACATGTTACGTTCGAATGAGGTCTCCAGTTTCCAACAACCTGATAATTCAAACTTGTAATCTACAAATTATTCCTAAACCCTTTCTTCCAGGAAGGAGCTCCTGTTTTAAGGATTTATGGTTCCTTCTTGTTCCTGTGTGTTGCAGACGTATCAATGCCTATTGAATTATTTCACATTCTGTCGCGTTAGAGCTGCATCACACCAAGCTTTAACCCGCCTACAGTAGATCTTGGTCTGAAGTCCTTTGACCAGATCACTCTAATATACTCATGTTTGGCTCACTGTCCTGTTTAAAGGTGAACCCTAACCCCAGTATCAAGTGTTTTACAGCCTCTGAAAGCAATTTTTCCCATCAGCTATGGCCAGCTTCCATCTCAGTGTGGAAGAAAAACGTCCCCACAGCGTGATCATGTTTCCCCACAGGGACGGTGTCTATTGGTCGATGTTTAGGGTTAATTTCCCTTCACTCTGCATTTGGCATGTAGGTTAAAAAGTTGCTTTTTTGCCACCTCTGTCCCCTACTTGGATACATCATTATTTTCCTTTGTGGTATTCTAAAAGCCAGATTTACGGAGTGCATAGCTAGCAGTTGTCCTCAGTGTCCCATCAACAGGTTTATCTACCTAAGCTGTGGATCTTGGCAGCTCCTCCGAAGTGTTTTGGGACCTTTAGGGCACCTATGTGAGTTTATTGTCAGTTTAATTGAAAAAACACATCTTTCTACAGTTTCCTTTCCAAACCCTCCTTATACTCAGAAGATCATTTTAAAGTATGTTTTTTAGATGTTTAAAGTTGGGTTATTGTTTAAAATCTTACCTTTGCTTCAAATGTTTCCCTGACTTGTCCGTTGTGTATATTTGTCTTCATGACACTCCAACAAAACTCTAAAGCCTTCATAGAACAGCTGAGTTTATGATGACATTTAATGAAGTGAAGTTGGACTATCCAAAAAGATAACCAAACCTTCTTTTAAAGGCCATTGGTTGCGCTGGGTTTTGTTTGAGAGCATCAGTGTAAATTGGACCAAATTTGAATACCTGTGTAAATGTTTGAGATTTCATGCGTAAAGCTGGTTTTTTTTAAATAGTCATGCATTATTTTCATACTAGTCGAGAAAGTTGTTCTATTTTGGATTTTAGCAAACAATTCCGATAAAAAACATTGAGCTTTGTTATTAAAATAGAAAAAGAAAAAAGAAAAATTCAGGGGTTATGAATACTCTTGTTAAGCACTACTCAAAGGAGGTTTGCTGTAGTTTGGTTTAATCATGAACTGACATAAGCTTGTAAACCACTTTTGTGATAATTTTAATTTTTTGCTTCATGTAGCATGTTTTTTTTCCAATGTAGGAACGGCTGATGGCGTGTTTGGCCGTTCGTGGACAGGAATGAATGTTTGCTCTGATGAGAAAAAAAAAATGCTGTACTATATTTTATATCACTGATGAGCCTCATCATTTAAAAAAAAAACGTTCCAGTGTCACATGATGATCCACTTGATCAAACATTTTTTTTTAGTTTTTATTTTCTTTTGTTTATAAGACAAATCACTGCCATTTTGTAAATAGAAAATCGACTGATACGATCAGTGTGGTTGATGGAAGTCTAGCCATTTTTACCGTATTATGGTTAAAGAGTTGAATGGTGGTAGAAAAAAATAATCCCACCTCTCATTGCGGAAAGACTGCTGTCTCTTTGATGATGTTGGTCGAAGTGTAACACTGATTGTTGTAAAGTATGTGTGTATCTCTTTGTTTTGTATATAAAAAGTCTTGAAGGTACATGTTCCTCCATGATGTATAATGAACCTTGTAAGCATAATAAAGCTATGATTCAAATAATGTGTATTTTCCTAGTCTTTCATGTTAAACACGCTGCAAAAACATAAACATGCAGCAAATACAAAAAGTACTGCAAACTTAAAAATTAAACTAGCTAACAAAACACACAAAAAGGAAAAACGCTGCAAAAAAGAGATGCTGCAATCACTGAAAATAGGAGCAAAATGTAAAAGAAACTGCAAATACAAACCTGCTGCATGCATATAAGTTCTGCAAGCTGCAAAACTGCAGCAGCTGTTATGCAATTAAATGCTGTTGTAACTTAATATAACTTAGCAAAAAAACTTTTGATTAATTAACATGTTGTTCTGTGAAAGCCCAATGGCTGTGTGTTAGAACATCAGATGCAAGTGTTATTCGAGCTCATATAATTATCAAACAGTCCACCTTGCGCATATATAGATTTAATTCATTCGTAAAACATTCATTCAGAACATAAGAATTTAGTAAGAAGAATCAAGTCATATTTTAGTAAAAACTCTTGATCAAATTAGTGAAACTCAACTAATTTGCTACTATGTACACTAAGAAAAAGAAACAGCAATGGTTTAAAACCATAATCAATAAAGTGATACAATAACGTCACAACTCTGGGCCGGATTTATCAAGATCCAATTTTGCGTGCAGTAATTTGCGCTCGCAAACTGGAATTTTGCGCGAGGGGCTGAACCATGGTTTGCGGGTGATTTAACAAGAGCGATTGCGTAACTGGTGGCAGGTGCAAAACTGTTGGAGACGCCCTATTTAAATGATGGTTTTGCGCGTTTTGTGGTTTGGGGCAAAGTAGTTTGTAGTTTGTGCAAACTAGTGCATTAAGAAATTTTAATCTTACAGTGACACCCCCACCCCCTCCCAAAAAAAAAATAAAATAAAAAAAAAAAAAAAAAAATATATATATATATATATATATATATATATATATATATATATATATATATATATATATATATATATATACCGGTATATATATATATATAAACCTTGGCAACCTTTATTCCTAAGGTGGTATGTGGCTGAAAAATGCACATACCAAATGGCTCACAAGAAGTGACTGTGGATAAGATGACTGCGCGTACGCT